CCCACTCAACCATTCCCTACTGTTGTTGACAAGCTTTTTGACAACTCTTCTAATAGATGGAACCTATCAACCTCCTCCCATGCCAGAAATAGCAACCCTTCTGACTCTCCTCCCCCAGTTTCTAAATCCCTTCCCTATCCCCTGAATGACAAACATGACCCAACAAACTGCCAAATTCTCCCACCTACAGATGAGCCACTGTATGTGAATCATGGGAATCCAGTTGAGACCCTGCACAATACATTATATACCAGGCCCTCAAAATTCTAGGGCCAGCCCCATGTATCACACTTTACATGTATATATGTATCTTTTCATGATTTTCACATTGGTTAGAAGGTACTTACATTTTAGGTGTTTTAACCATTGGTAAGTTACAGGTATACAGCAAGATAAAGGGGAAACCAGTAAAATACTCATCTTTATTGGATTGAAAAGAGAAAAGTCCATAGAAAACACTTGGAAGTCAGACTCTCAAAGGTTTTGCTGCATGCTAATTGGGGAGGGGCTTGAGGGCCGATGAAGAAAGCAGGGGATAGGAGATCTAAACCCTGTACAGCTCAAGAATCTGTATGTAAATCTTGCTATCCCAGGACCTCTGTGCATGAAATCAATCCCCTCTATTGTACTTCCAGTGCAGCATGGCACTTGCTGAAGCCATGCTTCTATTGGTTTCCCTGTCCATACCTGAGCCAAACTCCCTTCTCAAGGAGGCAGAGATCTTGAAGCTGCATTAATTCTCTAGAATATCTACCAGGACCCCACAGAGCATGTCACAGAGCTATTGCTTCTCCTAACCCAGGGGTGGCCAACCTGTGGCTCCAGACCCACATGCCGCTCTTCAGAAGTTAATATGCGGCTCATTGTATAGGCACCGACTCTGGGGCTGGAGCTACAGGCACCAACTTTCCAATGTGCCGGGGGGTGCTCACTGCTTAACCCCTGGCTCTGCCACAGGCCCTTCCCGCTCCCTCCCTTGAGCCTGTTATGCCCTCGCTCCTCCCTCTCCACACCATGAAACAGCTGATCTGGAGGTGAAGGGAGGGGGAGGGGCTGCTGGTTAGCAGGAGGGGCTGGGAGGGGGGGGGGGGGGGG